TATTGTTTTTATGTTCCTAAAACACCCTTCTCTTATAGTTCTACATACCTGAGTTCTACCCTTCTCTAAAGGCTAAGCCCAGAACTATCTCTTATTATAAAATCCCCCAGTTGTACCAATCCACAGGAATCTCTCCCATAAAATACAATGATACATGTTTCTTTACTATGATTTTGTCATTTAACATACACTGCAATTAATACAATTTATTTATATTTTAATTTTCTTATTTTTTAAAAATCCTCACTTGAGGAATTTCCTCCATTGAATTTTAGAGAGAGTGAAATAGAGGGAGAGAGAGAGAGAAGGAGAGAGAATTCTAGGGTAACAAGTTTGTATTTTTATTAAAATTTTCTAAAGAAGATTAAACTAGTGTGTTCCATGGAGATGTGTATGCATAAATGAGAGGGAAGGATGAAAAGGGGGAAAGGGAGAATAGACATAGGGAGACCAGTTAGAAGGCTTTATAGTAGTCACAAAGGTAACAAAAATATGAATTACAGTAGAGATGGACAAAGAATCTTATCTAATAAAGAGGGAATATGCTAATTGACCCTCATGCTGTCGCAAAGATGAAGGCACCCACAGCCAATAAGAAGGGAATATGCTAATTGACTGTCCTGCTGTCAAAGATGGTGGCGCCCACAGCCAATAAGGAAGGAAGATGCTACTTGACTGTCACACCTCAAAGATTGTGTCACCCACAGCCAATAAGGAGGGAATATGCTAATTGACTGTCCTGCTGTCAAAGATGGTGGCACCCACAGCCAATAAGGAAGGAAGATGCTACTTGGCTGTTTCGCCTCAAAGATTGTGTCGCCCACAGCCAATAAGGAGGGAATGTGCTAATTGACTGCCATGCCCTCAACGATGGCGGTGCCCAAAGCCACAAGATGGCGGCGCCCAGTTCCCTCAGCCCCCCAGCTGCCTGGGGCTGGCCCAAGGTGCAGGCAAGCCTTGGATGGCAGCTGCCCAGGGCTGCCCTAGGCTCAGGTAACCAGGGCCAGCTGAAGCTTGCACTGCCAGCAGTGGCAGCAGCAGAGGTGTGACAGGACGCTGCCTTCCCCTGATCACCAGGTCACCTCCCACCCCTGTGGTCTCCCGGACTGTGAGAGGGGGCATCTGGGCTGAGGGACACCACCCTCCCCCAGTGCATGAATTTC